ATGACGATCGTTAATGTCCGGCAGCTGCATTCGATTTGTTTTCGGATCTGAGCCACTGCCTTTCCCACAGCGTTTGGGCCCAGCTATCTGCATTGATCCCCTGATCCCCGGCTCAGCTTTACTCTGCTTGGCCAACACTCAGATATTGTAGAATGCTTCTCCTCCAGAGGTGTTTCGAAACACTGTCTCGATGCACCCGGGAATGGGAGCAATGCCTCTCCGGAGACTTAGGGGCTGCCTTCGATTGCCGGCCGCTTGTTTGAGTTTAATTGGAAAATGCAAAATGCAATATTTGTTTACGGCTGCTACGGCTACTGGCTGCTGGTCCTAGTACTGGCCCTGGCAGAGGCAGAGGCAATGCCAAGCACAAGGCATGGGGCGCAACAATCAATAGATCAAAACTGCACACGAGGCGCGCTTCCTTGCATCCAATTTCGCTCATTCGAGGGGGCAGGAGACGCCAGGACACAAGCAGCAAAATATTGCTCGGCCAGCGTGTGCGCCTCAAAAATCACGCAAGGACGAGGCAAAAATCAACAGGAAAATGGCTGAGGACGGAGTTACTTCCATTGCCGCAACCAGAGCCAGAGCCAGAGCCTGGCCAAAGAGCGTCCGTGGCAGTGGCAGTGGCTGTGGCTGTGGCAGGGCAGGCAGGCAAGTGGCTAAACACAGTTAGAGAAGATTGTGCAACAAACAAAACGGAGGCAGCAAAAACTGCAACTGGCCTGCATTGTTTGCCCCTCGATTGGAGAACTGGAGAACGAGAGTGTATGCCTGGATGGACAGAGTCTTGCCCCGCCCGCCGCATGGCTCTCCCTCGCCAGCCACAGCCGAGTCACCTGTTCTGGCCAGCTAGTTGGCAGCACCAGCCCAGGTCCCAGTCCCAGTCCCAGTCCCCTCCACATGCACATCCTCAGTCACTTCCAGCCGAGTTGATCGGCGGGTTTGGGCCAACTTCTTTCTGCTCTTCTGCTGCTCATCCTCTGGCCGAGGCGGCTGTTGTGATTGTGTGCGGCATAATTGCATGCGATTATGCTGCCTGCCTGCCTGCCTGCCTGCTCAGCTGTGCAGCTTGTATCATGGGTGCAGCAGCGCAACCAGAACAAAAAACAAGTGCACTGGCACTGGCAGTGGCAGTGGGAGCCAAGCCACTGGGGATGGAGCACATCCTGATGTTGTTTCTCCAAACTTAAGCCAATGCAACTCGCTTGAGCTCCCTCTAAGCTTGCACTTGGACTAGGACTAATTTTAGCCTAAAACTAGATTCTGCACTTATCCCAATAAACATGTTTCAGCCAGAAAATATCCTTATTATTTATGGATATAAATTCTAATAGCAAATTCGAATGACTGGCGACCCATGGGACACTCCAATTCCGAATAAACGACCTGTATAGGTCCACCATTGATCCGATTACTTTGTTGCCCAACGTTTGTTTTGTCCGGTCTGAATATGCAGAGTTTGAATGCAGTTTGAATGCAGTTTGATCAATTTCATCAATCAGGACGAGTTTGTTTAGAAGGTTTCGCTCAGAGACGCGACCCCGAATGACCAAAAAGTAGTCAAAAGAGCTGTTCTTTGTTCGAACTCCATCAATTTTGGTGCGGAAATGGTTCATATATCGCGCGTTGCCTGTGAAATAAAAGGCCAGAGCGGCTCCACTGTCCGTCCGGCAACTGCTCGGATTCGGAATCGGAATCGGCATCCATCCCAATACCGACACCCCACCCGATACATTCCTGGCGGCCCCGTCTGTCAATTTCAGCTGCTGCTGCTGCTGCTCCTGCTCCTGACTCTGGCACTAAAAATTTGTTTTTAGTTCAATTTTTGGTCAGAGGTCGGTCCTGTGTCCAACCGGAATATTTTATGCCGCCGACTCTGTGGCCGGCCTTTTGCAGCATTTGCCATTTGCACAATTTGTTTGCCTTGGTTCCCACTCCGAGGGTCCATCCATATTCCGGGCTCTCCGGCATCCCTCATGCCAGACGTATTGCCCCCCCTTTGAGTGAATGGGGCCCGACGGATAACGAAAAGCGGTGCCGGCAATGGTCTATTGAACAATGGTCTATTGGCACGGGTGGGAATCGGCTCCGGCTGCCTTTTGCGAATCCCATGTCCCGTCTCCTGTCCCGTCCCCTGTCTCGTCCGAGCTCCAAGTACGGGCTGTAATCGAAAAATTTGTGCAATGACAATGGCAGCTGCAGAGGGGCAGCGGGGCAGAGGGGGCACGTTGGTAATTAAACTTTGCCAACTAATTTTCTGGCTGCTCTCTAATTATTTATGCATACATCATCGGTTCCGCTCATAACAATCATCCGACAATTTATCGCACAATTTAATGCACATTTGAATGGACTGCCTGCACTGCCTGCACGGCCATAAATGTGCACTTTAGTCGTAAATTGAAACACAATATAGCACAATCCCAGAGAACAATTCCGGGCCAAGCGATGCCAGAAATTGAGAGATATCTGAGGGATAACCTCTGGCCTGCGACCAAGCACCAAGCACCAATATGCACCAATATACATTGCCCCGACATGGAGACACTAATCCACCAGAGAGATACGCGCACAGTACAGTTCGCTCTTGGTGGGCTGCCCCGGCCTGGCATTGGGGCAGATAAGACTGAGCTCATTCAACTCATTCTGGGACTTCTTCTTATCTGAATTGAAGTTTTGTGTGAGGCTGAGGGCATACTCGTAATTAGGTATTGAAAGATATTTCTGAAGATCTATGAGTGCAATTTATGTTCTTTACTCTTTATTCTTGTTTAAACTGTAGAAATTTAATTTCAAATATTGGAAAAGTGCACAAAGATTCCATTGAGAGTTAAGTAAAGTTGAAATAAGTTATCTGATAAACACAACAAAATAGTTGCCCGCATGTGTGTGTATTCTGAAAACAAAAGTGTCCTCCAGCAGTCAGAGAAGTGACTTAACACTCACACGATTACGATTACGGTTACTCTGGCTCGTTCACACATCCTCGTGCGAGTGTATTCATCTGTGGTGGAATATCTGCGTTGCCTGCTGCTATTTTTATTTCCTAGCACTACCACACAGATACACACACACACACACACTCTGAGAGTGAAAACAAGTTGAACAAGTTTCCGACACCTCCGACAGCAGCCGAAATGAAACAATGCCAATGTGCTGGCTCTGTGCTGGCTCTGTGCTGGCTCTGTGCCGGCGGTGAAACGAGCTCCGAGCTCAGAGCTCGGGGGCCAGTGTACTCTCTCCCAGCTCCCTGACAATGGATGGGAGTTGGACATGGGGCTGGTGCTGGGACTGATGAGAGCTCCTGCTGCCTTGGACACTATTAAGTGTGCCTTTGAAGATTTGTTGCCAGCAAGCAGCAGGAGCAGGAGCAGGACACAGACTTGGAGACTTGGGGGGCCGAAAAACGTCTTTCGGCCATGTGTGTGCTCCTGCTGCTGCTCCTCCTACTAATGAAAAAGTTCTTATGAATAATAAATGCATTAAAGAAAGTTCCATGGACAAACAAAAGTTTTGTTTGTGGGGCACACACAGTGGAATGTTTTATGGCAGTAGGAGCGGAGGAGCGCAGGCCGGACACAGGGAAACATTTATAAATATTACATTTGGCGTAGAAAACTCAGAAGGTGGCAAGTGATTCATTCGACACTCGACACACGACGAGTTCTGCAGGCGGCCTTGGCCCTGCCCCTGCCCCTGCCCCACACAACGAGACGCAGCGGGGCTATCCCAAGTATCCGTATCGTCTAAACAGCAAACTGCAGTCACGGCCTGCCTCTGGGCTTGTCTAAACAATCGCACACTAAAAATAGCGCCAGCACTCGTGCACTTTCAACTGCATTCAAAATGTATCTTCGAGTGCGTTCTGCGTATCTGCCGAGGGTGAGTCGGAGTGGGATTAGGAGTAGAAGCCTGTGGCAGTGTGTTAAACATCTTTTGGCGTTGACAAAATCGCATGGCAGGCGGCTCTATACGAGTATCTCCAGTTCCAGTGCCAGTGCCAGCTGCAGCTGCGGCAATTAGAAGATGCAGCGAGATGGGAAAGTATCTGACGGATATGCAAGCGGCGTTTGCTGATGCTGCTGCTGCTGATGGCTGATGGCGGCGCGTGTGTGAGTTAATAGTAACAATAACAGACCCAAATGGATGGATGGATGGGTGGAAATGGATGGTGAGAGAGAGAGAGACACAGAGAGTGCCAGAGAAAAGAGAAAAAGAAGAGAGGGAGTACAAAACTGGGTGTTTGCTCGTCTATGGGCCATGTCGATAGGTTTTTAGTGTATTTTAAAATAACTTGGGAGTTGAAATTAATTTAATTTAATTTACATTTAATAGAGTAATAAAATAAATATTCTCTCCCACATTTATACATTTCATCAAGTAATGATATCTGGCGATTTTCCTGATTTTGTTTAAACAAAAATGAACATTGAAAATGCACTTTCATCCACTGAAGTTCCATTACTAATTGAAACTCTTTTAATATTTTATTATTTGTTTATCCAACAATTATTTACTGATATAAATCTGGTTTATTTTGTGATTAAAAATTCGGAATTTCCATTTGCGTTTGGTAAATGTTTACATTTTTCATGAAAAATCAAACAGAATTTCCACTCACATTTCTCAAACTCTTTGCACTCAATCGCTCTCTCCTGGCGGCACACTGGCGCCAGTTGGCACCGCGGCGGCTACAAATATAACTACAAACAGCGCGAGAGAGCGTGAGAGAGAGTGAGTGAAATGCAGAGCCGAAGCAACCCCGAACACGAACACGAGCACGAGCACATGCGTCCCAACATCGGGCGAAATCCACTCGTTTTTCGTACCAACTTGCACTCGCTTGAAACCGGAAAGTGAGTCTCTCCCCCTCTCTCGGATGCGTTGGACTCTTTTCGTTTGCTCTCGGCTCTCGGCTCTCCATCGCTCTGTCGCTCTTTTGCTTCTATCAATGTTTCGGCCAATGCTTCAAGTGTAAAAAAGTCTACGCTAGAAATGAACACGTTCATTCATGTCCGAATTCTCGCCGAGGCAAGGTCGTTACACGCGCTTCTGAACTTTTGAACTGCGCGGTTGCTGCCGCGCGTCGTCAACGAAACGTACGGACACCGTGGTGTGGCTTGGTGTGGCCAAACGCCCAAACGCCCAAAATTCAATTCAATTTAATTCGAAAAAATTACCCAAAAATGAGAAACAGCATTTAAGAGCAGTGCCAGTGAGATTGAATAATTTAATAGGAATACGAAAACCAAAACGAATAGAAATACCCAAAAAATATACATACATGTGTGCCAGAGAAATGTGCGATTAGTGAAACAAAACAACCAGTGAAAAACCAGTAGAGAAAAACCAGAGAAAACCCACAAACCAAAACCCAAAACCCCCCCCCAACTAAAATGTCAATTCGCGTGTGAGAACCAGAGAATCGCAAACTAATCGCTAGAACATCTGAGAGGTTCTGGTTCCCTGTGCCCCCAAGAAATAACCAGAAGAGCAGAGAGCCGGAATGGAATTCCCGACGCTGCTGCTCCTGGTGAGCGTGCTGCTGCTGCTGGGTGGAGCCTCCGATCGGAGCTGCAGCTGCCTGGCAGCCCTGGTGCCCAAGGAGAGCGGCGACAGCTCTGCCAGCGCGATGCTGGGCGGAGGCGCTGGCTCCGCATCCGTCTCGCTATCGGGCGACTACTCATCGCTGCTGTCGGCCGCCGTGCCAGCCGCAACCGCCGCCGAATCCTCGCCAGCCGCGCCCCCCCACAGCGGGCCGAGCAACCAGTGCTCGTGGACATACAACGGCACCAGCTCCGTGCACTGCGCCCTGCGTCTGATCGAGCGCCAGCCGGGACTGGATCTGCAGGGAGCCGATGGCAGCAGCCAGCTGACGATCCAGTGCAGCGACGTCTACCTCTTCGAGTCCACGCTGCCGGTGGCGGTGTTCGCCCGCCTGCAGACGCTGGAGACGCTGCGCCTGGAGGCATGCAAGCTGCTGCAGCTGCCCAACAACGCCTTCGAGGGCCTGGGCACGCTCAAGACGCTGCGTCTGAGCAGCCACAACGCCGAATGGGGTCCGGCCAGGACGCTGGAGCTCTATCCGGACTCGCTGAACGGCCTGAAGCAGCTCACGGAGCTGGACATGAGTGACAACAACCTGAGGGCCCTGCCCGCGGGCTTCCTCTGCCCCGTGGGCAACCTGCAGTCGCTGAATCTGACCCGCAACCGGATCCGCACCGCCGAGCAGCTGGGATTCGCGGACATGAACTGCAGCGGGGGCAGCGAGTTGCAGCTGCTGGACGCCAGCCACAACGAGCTGCGCTCCGTCACCGAGAGCTGGGGCATCTCCCGGCTGCGTCGCCTGCAGCACCTCAACCTGCAGCACAACAACATATCGGAGCTGTCGGGGGAGGCGCTGGCGGGACTCGCCTCGCTGCGTATCGTCAACCTGAGCAACAACCACCTGGAGACGCTGCCCGAGGGCCTGTTCGCCGGCTCCAAGGAGCTGCGCGAGATCCATCTGCAGCACAACGAGCTGTACGAGCTGCCCAAGGGGCTGTTCCATCGGCTGGAGCAGCTGCTGGTGGTGGACCTGTCCGGCAACCAGCTGACCTCCAATCACGTGGACAACACGACCTTTGCCGGCCTGATACGCCTCATAGTGCTCAACCTGGCGCACAACGCCCTCACCCGGATCGACTATCGCACCTTCAAGGAGCTGTACTTCCTGCAGATTCTGAATCTGCGCAACAACTCCATCGGCCACATCGAGGACAACGCCTTCCTGCCGCTCTACAACCTGCACACGTTGAACCTGGCCGAGAACCGCCTCCACACGCTGGACGACAAGCTCTTCAATGGGCTGTACGTGCTCTCGAAGCTCACCCTGAACAACAACCTGATCAGCGTGGTGGAGCAGGCCGTGTTCAAGAACTGCTCCGACCTGAAGGAGCTGGACCTCAGCTCCAATCAGCTGAACGAGGTGCCGCGCGCCCTCCAGGACCTGGCCATGCTGCGCACCCTCGACCTGGGCGAGAACCAGATCAGGACATTCGACAACCAGAGCTTCAAGAACCTGCACCAGCTGACGGGACTGCGACTGATCGACAACCAGATCGGCAACATTACGGTGGGCATGTTCCAGGACCTGCCACGGCTGAGCGTGCTCAATCTGGCCAAGAACCGCATCCAGAGCATCGAGCGGGGCTCCTTCGACAAGAACTTTGAGCTGGAGGCCATCCGGCTGGACAGGAACTTCCTGTCGGACATCAACGGGGTGTTCGCCACGCTGGTCTCGCTGCTCTGGCTGAATCTGTCCGAGAACCATCTGGTGTGGTTCGACTACGCGTTCATTCCGTCCAACCTCAAGTGGCTGGACATCCACGGCAACTACATCGAGGCGCTGGGCAACTACTACAAGCTGCAGGAGGAGATCCGGGTGAAGACGCTGGACGCCTCGCACAACCGCATCACGGAGATCGGCCCCATGTCCATACCGAACACCATCGAGCTGCTGTTCATCAACAACAACCTGATCGGCAATGTGCAGCCCAACGCCTTCGTCGACAAGGCCAATCTGGCCCGCGTCGACCTCTACGCGAATCAGCTGAGCAAGCTGCAGCTGCAGCAGCTGCGCGTGGCGCCCGTGGTGGCGCCCAAGGCCCTGCCCGAGTTCTATCTGGGCGGCAATCCCTTCCAGTGCGACTGCACCATGGACTGGCTGCAGCGGATCAACAACCTGACCACCCGGCAGCATCCGCGCGTGATGGACATGCCCAACATCGAGTGCGTGATGCCGCATGCACGCGGCGCTGCCGTGCGTCCGCTGAGTGCCCTGCGGCCGCAGGACTTCCTCTGCCGCTACGAGTCGCACTGCTTCGCGCTGTGCCACTGCTGCGACTTTGACGCGTGCGACTGCGAGATGACCTGCCCCCACAACTGCACCTGCTACCACGACCAGATCTGGTCCACCAACGTGGTCGATTGCGGGGGCCAGCAGACCATGGAGCTGCCGCGTCGCGTCCCCATGGACTCGAGCATCGTCTACCTGGACGGCAACAACTTCCCGGTGCTCAAGAATCACGCCTTCATCGGTAGGAAGAACCTCAAGGCGCTGTACGTGAACGGCAGCCAGGTGGCGGCCATCCAGAACCGCACCTTCGCCAGCCTGACCTCGTTGCAGATCCTCCAGCTGGCGGACAACCGGCTGCAGACGCTGCACGGCTACGAGTTCGAGCAGCTGTCCTCGCTGCGGGAGCTCTACCTGCAGAACAACCTGCTGGCCACCATTGAGAACGCCACCCTGTCGCCGCTGGTCTCGCTGGAGCTGCTGCGCATCGATGGCAACCGGCTGGTCACCCTGCCCGTCTGGCAGCTGCACGCCACCCACTTTGGCAGGCGCCTGCGGTCCATAGCCCTGGGACGCAACCAGTGGACCTGTCGCTGCCAGTTCCTCCAGGCCCTCACCTCCTACGTGGCGGAGAACGCGCTGATTGTGCAGGACGCGCAGGACATTTACTGCATGGCGACGCCCAACACGCCTGGCTACGACGCTGCCGCCTACGACAGCAGCTCCGCCGAGGGTGCCCTGCAGAAGCGGGAGCTGGACTTCAATTCGACGGGCGCCGCCTGCACGGACTACTACTCGGGCGGATCGATGCTGCAGCACGGCATACCCGAGTCGTACATTCCGCTCCTGGCCGCCGCCCTGGCCCTGGTCTTTCTGCTGGTCGTCATCATCATCGTGTTCATCTTCCGGGAGTCGCTGCGCATCTGGCTGTTCGCCCACTACGGCGTCCGTGTGTTCGGGCCACGCTGCGAGGAGTCCGAGAAGCTCTACGACGCCGTGCTGCTGCACTCGGCCAAGGACTCGGAGTTCGTGTGCCAGCATCTGGCCTCCGAGCTGGAGACGGGTCGTCCGCCGCTGCGTGTCTGCCTGCAGCACCGCGACCTCGCCCACGATGCCACCCACTACCAGCTGCTGGAGGCGACGCGTGTCTCCCGCCGTGTGGTGATCCTGCTGACCCGCAACTTCCTGCAGACGGAGTGGTCGCGCTGCGAGCTGCGCCGCTCGGTGCACGACGCCCTCCGGGGACGGCCACAGAAGCTGGTGATCATTGAGGAGCCGGAGGTGGCCTTCGAGGCGGAGAGCGACATCGAGCTGCTGCCCTACCTGAAGACCTCGGCCGTGCACCGCATCCGGCGCTCGGACCGCCACTTCTGGGAGAAGCTGCGCTACGCCCTGCCCGTCGACTACCCCACCTATCGCGGCAACAACTACACGCTGGACCACAACCACGAGCGGGTCAAGCAGCCAGCCAGCCCAGGTCTGCTGTATCGCCAGGCACCGCCGCCCGCCTACTGCGGCCCGGCTGAGGGAGGCGTCCCCAGTGCCCCCACCACCGCCACCGCCACCGCCACAGCTACAGCTTCAGCCGAGCAGAACTATTCCACGGCCACCACTGCCACCCCCAGTCCGAGGCCCCAGCGACGCGGAGATCACCACGGAGGCGTCTCTGGCTCTGGGGCGGCCGCCGCCCCGCACGGCCACCACTTGCACGCCCAGTACTATCAGCATCACGGCATGCGGCCGCCCTCGGAGCACATCTACTCCAGCATCGACTCGGACTACTCGACGCTGGACAACGAGCAGCACATGCTGATGATGCCCGCTGGGCCCGGTGTCTCGTTGGAGGGTACCCCCAGGGCCCAGACCTGGCGCCCCAAGCAGCAGCAACAGCAGCAGCACAGCAGCATGCCTTGCAGTCTGGCCCCACCTCAGTGGGTCATGTGGCCACCATGGGCCCCAGTGGCAAGGCCTCTCCCCAACAGCAGCAGCAGCAGCAGCAGGCAGTCGGATCTGGCCAGCAGCAAGGTCCACATGTCCAGGCGTATCTCGTCTAGAGAGGAGCAGCACCAGCACCAGCAGCAGCAGCAGCAGCAGCAGGAGGTGGAGGAGATGCAGATGCAGATGGGGAGTAAGAGGACACAGAATGTGGCATTCTGGGAGAGTGACAGTGATTTCTTTAGGGACTGGTTCCTGTGCATAATTTTAATTACTAAAATATGTGCGAGTTAAGCTAAGAGATTAGAACGAGGGGAGCATGAGCACTGAGGAGTAGCCGGAGGAGGAGTAGCAGGAGGAGGAGTAGAAACTATCCAGAGATTTTAATGTTAGAGACCCATCCACATACCGAAAAACCCCCATCCCCCCGCCCCAAAAAAAAGCAAGCAGCAGGAAGCGCCTACAAATATTTTGTTTATCCAGTGTAAAGTCATTTTAGATGCACTAAACAAACAGACGAGTACTCGTAGACACAGGCACACAATGCGCACAGATACAGCAACAAGATACAGCCACACGATACAGCCACAAGATACAGCTACCAAGATACAGCTACCAAGATACAGATGCATTTAGAAGCAAAGCAGAGCCAAGCAGGGAGGGTGATTGTGAGTGTGAGTGTGAGTGTGTGAGGGGGTGAAACTATGTTAGCACAATGCCATTTCAAAGTTTCCAAAGTTTGCCACAGCAAAAGGAAGTTTTCCCCTCACACACACACACATGCCGCACACTGCTGCCCGGGCTTTCATTTGCTTAGCGCTGCGAATGGCTCTGGAGAATTTCGGATAACTTTTTAATATGGTTTTAATCAGTTGGACCGAACTATTTGGCAGCCGAGGCACAGAGATTCATGCTCTTGGCTGAACTTTGCAGATCCCCTTTGAAGGCTTTAGACGTAAATTGATTGTTCCGAAAAGTGGCCTGGCTCTCTGCTCTCGCAGTACGAGTAGGTAGTATCTTGCGTATCCATTTTGTAAATATATCTCCACTACCATAAACAGCATTCATAGTTATTTAAATACCGATAGATATACATACATAAATACAGGCTCGATGCATTTTGCAGATATGTAACCGTAACCGTAACCGTAACCATATAGCAATAATTCAGTAACCACATTTGAGTGCACAGTCAGTTACATATTGTATATCGTACGTACGAATAATGCACAGCAGGAGGAGCCTGCTCCATGCAGGAAGGCTCAGAGAGGGTCAGAGATCAGATCGGTAGATGGAATCGGTGTGGTTGCATGTGTATAAAGCATTCATAATTACTTAGCTAGCAAACCGAAAGGAGTCGGACTCATGAATCTCGAGTGGTTAACTACAAAATATGTACCAACAGGCAGACAGGCAGACAGACAGACACACAGACACACAAGCTCATTTTAAACACTACGCTTACCAAACTAACGATAATTGTAATGAAACTTTTGCATACTAGTATGAGATGAGATGAGATGAGAATGCTCCATGCTCCATGGCGTATACACAATATGCATAGCTAATGACTAGCAAACCTAAATACATACATAACATAAATACATACATACATACATAGAGAGATGCATCACATACATATGATGTATGTATGTGCAGATATACATATATAGTATATACCCAGTATGTATTATTCAGTGAATATATATAAATGTGCGTGACTGTGTAAAGTAAAACTGATATTAGCGAACTGCATGAGGTTCGCTCTCTATATACATATACATATATACCATATACACATACGATATATACATATATGTATGTGTCTATCTATATATTATCCGAGTAAATGTTTAACAGCTGCCTAAAAAGTATATACATACACATATATGTGCATTTATTTCCGATTGCAAAACTCGCCGACTCGTCATTAGTTAAGCAAAATAAATCAGTTGAAAACTATCGCCAGTCCTTAGGAGTACTTACATACGTACATATGCACATGTGGAACGGAACCGATCGATTTAAGGACACAAAACACTTGTACCAGTATGAAGAAAGCCCAAAACTGTTATTTATTTTTATCATTTTGTAATATATACCGCATTAAGTTATAGGTTTAGTTCTCTAAGACGACGATGAATGATGGCGCGCTCTATGATAATGTATAACCTTTGGATAATTCAATTTTGTGAATAATAACTATTTATATACTATATATATATATATGTATACATATGTCTAAATCTATGTACGATTACCAACAACAACAAAACAAAGATATTTTTCCGTTTCGCCAGCGAACAATGCAAATGAAATGAACAACCTTTTTAAAACAAAACAACTCTTGACTTTTGCTATCGTACTTATTGGACTATTGGGCCATGTTATGTGGTGCTATGGAATGGGGTTCGGTTCTCTATTTTCAGGCTCTGGCTCTTTGCTAATTTAATTCATCATGCACATGAGTTGCTGTTTTGTAATCCTCACGCATTGTCCGGGGGAGCCAGGAGAGACGGCGGTCGACGGTTGTTGGTCGTCGGTCGTCGGTCGGCGGCCTGTCAAAGTCAACCGAGCAAACGTAGCTCAGATACAAGCCGACAGAGTGATAAATCATTTTTTGTTTTTCTATACAGCTTGCACACATAGAGATACATGCCTGAGAGCACTCTCGTGTGTCTGTTTGTGTGTGTATATAAACCAAAATACAAATGCGCATCGCGTTGCAGAGGCAACCCCCCCCACAGTCAGTGAATCCATCCATCCATTCCGGCTGTCTATAGCGCCTCCACTCCATAATGGTGGCTGTGCGTCTGTCGTGTTTGTCTCTGGTTAAATGATGGCAGCGGCACGTCGCTGTATCCAATTGAAGGGTAACAGAAACACACTCTCCACATCTACCTAGTCGGAGTGGATTTCCATGATGGTTTTGGCATTTAGATATTTATGCCAAGCGGAGCTCAAGTGCCAAGTGCTACATTTCGGCCCAAAGTGATTGTGTGGCAGCCTAGAGAGCCCAGATGTAAATACAAAACACCAGAGCAGCTCGGTCTGCAGTGGGTTGGTTTTCCATTTCACCGGAATACATCCATTGCTCACATCAGTTGCATTTGATTTCGGTTAACATCCGGAGAGAGAGTGAAAAAAAAAACGAAACGATTGCATGTTTGTTGCTTGCCGTTCCCCTCCATCGCCAATGCCATCGACATCGATTCAAACCCCGAACCAGATCAACAACTGGCAAACTTTTTTAATTTGCTTTCATTGGGGTTTTCCCACTTCCACAGCACCCGCCCCCCCTACCGACACTAAAGCTTCTTCGCACTGTGCGTACAAGTTGTAACTAATAGAATTACAAACCCCCACAAAGAAAGAGTGCCAGCACACACACCCACATGGAACCCTTGGCCTGCAACATTGAAGGGCGGAGATATTGAATGCCTCAGACAAGCGCTGCTACTGCCACTGCCACTGCCACTGCACTGCAAAGGACGGGAGGGAGAGACTCAGAGAAATCGGAACCAATCTGGGAGAAAGCCCCAGTTGAGGAATTTTTTCTTTGGAAATTTCATTTAACAATTGCTTAATTGTTTGCAGATACGCATCTGTTGTTGAGCCACTTACATTCCAGCAGTGAGAAGAGACACTGACTGGGGTGGATTTTTAGCTACATTTTCTGGGCAAACTTCTCTCAAAATCAATAACTTAGGAAAATTAGCGAGCACTTTAAATCAATATTGTGAGGGGAGAATGTAGCTACGGGAAGATTCAGAGCAAGCAACCAGAACCATAGCCAGATATTTCATATTACTTTCGGGGCTCAGGCAAAACTGATCAAAATTCAATACGTGTTGCAAATATCGAATTTCCATCAAAAGCGAAACAAAAACAAAACAGTCATAAAAAACATTCGAGGGTGGCTGCTGGCTGCTGCCCTTCTCATACCAAAAACTGTACGTACACGTTCGAGGGTGGGGGTGCAAAAAAAAATATAGGATATATTCCGGAATACTCGTCTGTATACATACATATGTGTGTGTATGTGTAAGTGTGTGTGTACGTAGTACGTATAGGCATGGGACGGACTCGGCTCGCTTATTATGATAATAAATTTTTATGCTGCAAGAAATAAAAGAGAGTGCAGGAAAAAAATTAAATAAAAAAGTATCAGTCGCCCACACACACACACGCTACTGGGAGGTAGAGCGGCACCAGACGAGAGACAGAGAGAAGCTCAAAGTGAATTAAATTGAATTGAAAACTGTTCTCCAATAAAAGGGCCTGTTCAGGGGCAAGTTTAAATGCTTTAGTCGGACCCTACCCTACCCGATCCGGACCCGTACCCGTACCCAGTGGTCTTGGGCCTCGATGTCAGCACTTGCAATCAAATTATTTAAATGTAATAAAAAAGGTTCAGCAAAATATTTGCTTTGCCAGAGAAAAATACTTGACGAAAAGTTGCCAGAATCAAAATGTGGGCCAGTCATGGGCTCTGAACAGTTTGCCACTAAGACTCCTCAATGCTCAATGTCAGACTTCAGTCAGTCGAATGGCTGTGCAAATGTATATGTATCTACTATACAATATAGGTTATATATATACATATATATGTACAAGTCTTGCTATATTGTGTCATAGCATAGGCGAGTGGAGAAAATCGTTTTTCGTCACGTTCCTCTCGGCAGAGCGCACAGAAATAGGCAAATAAATCTGTGCGGGCAACGGGAAAAAGTGAAATGAAATGCTTGGTCAGGTTTTCCATGTACTATAATATATATGGGTGTATATACATATATATGTATATATAAAAATAACAATTTTCATTCTCTAGCCGATAAACAACGGCGCAAAGGTGATAAGTTCATTTTGACAGCTTGCAAATCAAAGTGTCTCTCTTGGTTTTTTTTTTTTTTTATTATTATTTTTCTGTTTTCACTTTTACATTTGGGAAAATCAATTTGGGACAGACAATGATTGAGGTTCTTGCGTGGGCTTTTCCCATCAAATGTTGCCAGTTTCATGCTTTAAATATCCTGTCCATCAGCCTTGAGTTCTTAGCAAACAATTCCGCAGTCAGGGTGTAATTCATAGTTTGGAATTCGAAAAAAGAGACAAATACTCCAACCAGTTATTCAAGTTAATTCTCTGTGGTAAGAGCTCTATGTAGGTCCATTCCCCAAAATGAGATACTTTATGCTTCCCTATCCTCGGGCATAGCTGTTGTGTTTCTAATGAGCTTTATAATGTGGCCACAACGCCAGTGTCACAAGTGCCAGCAAACGAATTACTCCGGCAGCTGGAAGGATGTCCTCTGAGTCCTCCACAAGCCACTCCACACTCCACACGTTCATGGATGTGTATTGTGCAGCTCTCTGTATGTTTGTCATAATTTCACGTCCATTGTCAGGGCTTATTCAGCGTCGCATTCAGCATGGCGGAAGATGGGAAGACGTGAAGCCGGGCATGAGAACATGACTGCGACTGTAAGGGACGGGGAGTGCACGCTGTGTCCTGGTTGGTGCGTCTCCTGTTTGCTGTTGCTGTTGTTGTTGTTGTTGTTGTTGTTGTTTAGATTGTCGTTGCCCCTCCTCGGCGTAATTATTTGCTTTGGCTTTCGGGGTTCATTTACGGAGTACTCCACCAAAAAGAAAATACCCTAAAGAAGCGACACACGGATGCGGCACACAGATACTCGTACTCGTACATAGTTTTGCATATGTATGCGGCCGCGGCTTGTCAGGACTGTGCCGCCGTGTCTGTGTGTTGTTTTTGCCTTTGCCTTTCGCTGGTATGTATCTTTGTTTGTGCACATGTGTTTTAATTTCTGTTTGTTGTTTTTAACGGCAACAATAAAAAACTGTTACACTCGTGTCACCGCCGCTCGGAGTCCGCACTCTGCTGCCTGCTCCCTTGCCATCCTCTGGTGGCCCTCTTCGGTGTGGGGTTCAAGCAATTACAAATTATGGCCCAGTCCTTGTGCGCCCCAGTTCCCGTTGCCGCTTAGGGTTACCTTTTTTAATTGTTTTTCCAGTGTTGGATTTCCCTGGCGTTGTGGGCGGTGCAAAGGGTTTGCAGTCGGACTTCGGTTGGGGATTGTGGCACTGCTGCTTTATGTGGGAATCCCTAATTATGAAACATAGCCGAAACTACTATTTATCTTGCTTTAGTATCTCGGGTCCTGCGACCGGAGGGTTCGCCTCCCGCCAAAGAACACCAAACCGAACCCGAATCCGACCCCGAACCCAGGCGAAAAAAATCAATAAACTCCTTTGGAAAGCTTTAAAGTCAGGCTGCAGGGCGGCCACAACGCAACTCCACATGGATGTGCTCTGTCATTGGGCCGCACCGCGTAGCTGAATTCTGGCAGGCAAGGAAGGGCATGGAGACATACACACACAAAAAAA